TTTCCATTAAAATCCAATAAAAAAAAAGGTTCAATTTATCAAAAAAAAGGGAAGTAATTACACTGAAGTAATTTATAGAGAAAAATTGAAATTTTGTACTCAGTTGTAAAATTCCTCTGTATGAAACTTAATCAGTTTTCGAAATTAAGATTTTAGTTTACCTTATAATTATCATAATAAATTGCAATCTGTTGTTATATTACAGATTCTCCTTTCTTAGAAATTTATCTGCTGATGTATTAAACAGTTAATTAGTGCCTTAATATTCTTATTATCTTATATTTATGTTTATCTTTTGAACTATAATTTTTTACTGAATATATTCATCATAACAAAAACAGTTAAAATAAGTGCTAAAATTCAATTATTTCATTATTGGATGAAAATAACTTTAAAGGATAATTTTATAATTAATTTTATTTCCTTAAAATTATTATAATTAATTGAAAGTTTCTGTTATTTTATTACGTGATTTACAATAACAAATTTAAAGTTGTGTAGTTTCTGTTTTGTGCTGAAAATGTGCGTAACTTTGGAACTGTGTTGTAATTTAAAATACTAAATTGTTCTTTAGGAAACTAAAATGATTTTTTATTCAATTCTTTTGGCCATTTTATGGTTATTCGCAGTTTATGATGCGTTAAGTAATCTTTGATCTTCAACGTGAAACGAATACAAATGAACGATTCCTACTCTAATTCCATTCTAACAAGAACTTGGCTGACACTAGAGATTCTTACTCTGTACAGTACATTTGAATTAAATTCCTGAACACAGAGTAAGATTATTTGTGCTGAAGATCGTAGAATAAAATCTTCAGTACAGAGGTCCCTCGGCTTATGGTGATTTTCTTTGTGGTTCTCTGTGGGATTGGTCAGCTTCTGATATCTTATTCTGTGGTTCTCAGCATAGATTATCCGGAGTATGCAATGCTTTACTTTGTGATCTACAGATTGCAACGAATACAAAGAATATATATACCAAACTTAAAATTTATTCGTTAAGTTCAGAATAGAGGTATGACAGGATATAAATTAGGATTAAAATTAATCATTTTAATTTCGTTTCGTATATTTTTTAAGGTCAAAGCGTTTCATTTATGTAATTTTAAACATTTTGAAAGCCATCTGCATTATCTAAATCTCCTTAGCTGTCACATAGCATAATATTTTCTGTGTTAAGGGCCGCCAACGTGGTAAGGAACTTCAAACAAGGTCACATATTGTTCACAGCTTGCAAACCTAAAAGCAGCCATCTGTGCATTATCAGAACTTAAGTGATCCCAAAATAATTTTATTTAAAAAAAATTAAGTTAAAGTCTATTTAAAACTTAAAAATATACAAATTTCTTATCCTAAAATGTTAATTATTAAGTTATATATTAATGTGTTTTATCGTAAGCTATAATTTTATTTGTCAAGTATGCAATTAGTCGCTATAGATAAAAGTGAAATAGTAAAAGTAAGGAATGTCATTTTTCGTCCTTAAGGGATGTAAATCTCTTTTCGTACTTTGACAATCTGGGACAGGAATTAGTGTCAGCAAAAGTTCTTATTAGGATCTAATTGGTATGAATGAAAGAATACAATTGTTTTGTTTCTTTTCTTCCTCCTGAAAATTTTACATAATAATTCAACAAACTATTATTTTTTTTAGTGAAAATTACATTCAAAATTTAATTAATTTAAATTGCAAACTTTACATTTGAAAAAATGCAAAAGTTTGAGTAGAAATATGAGATAGAAAAATTAATTTTTGTAAAATTTATGAATGAAATAAATAACGGTTGACTATTGTAATATTTTTTCCAATTAATTTTAATTATGAAATGAAAATTTATTTTAATCTTAATTAATTTTTAACATTAAATAATCCGTAATATAATTTGTATCCTTTTAAAATATTTGGTTTTATCGATTCATTTAAGAAAAATTTTAATTATAATTGAATTCATGATCTTATTCAGCATTGTAAATTATATATTCTTTATTTATTATGGGTACATTAATTGATTTGTTTATGATAAAACGTGTAAAATAAATCCTCATATTCAGATCTGCATATGATCAAAACATGTAAACACGACTTTATATTCGATTCTATGTTAATTAAGCATATGAAATCCCTCTTATATTTTAATTTGTTTGTAATTAGCTATGTAAAATTCGGTCTGCATATAATTAAATATGCAAATTTAGGCTTATATTCGAATCTGGATGTGATCAAATATGTAAATGCAGTTATCAGATTTATAATCACTGATGTACTGAGGATTGAGTTTGTAATCTTCAATATAATTGCATTTTGGAGAGTGAAAATTGAAATTGTAATCCTCAATGCATTTGACGTTTAAGAGAATGAAGATGAATTATAATATTCATTATAATTGCGTTTAAGAGAGTGAAAATTGAGATTTCAGTTTTCAATGTAATTTCCTATAGTAGAATGAAGATCGATTGTACTGTACAATCTTCAAGTATAATTGAGCTTTAGGAAAATGACGATAAATTTACAATTTTCAATACTATGTACAGTACAGTATATTCGAATTTGGAAGAGTGGAACTAGAATTTACTATCCTCAATATAACTGCTTTTAGGAGATTGAAGAATGAGTTCACAGTCTTCAGCATATCGTAATTGTATTTATGAGAGTGAAGATTGAGTTTAAAACTCTTAATTGCATTTTAAGAGAATATAGTATCCTCAATATATTAATTATATGAATTTGGCTCTATTCATATGATTAATCATGATCAAACAAATTCAATCACATTGAGCCACTCTTTAAATATATTTAAAACAATTCATCTGATTATTTATTTACTGATTCATTTATTTTTAATGGAATTATACTAATGGCAGTCTGATCAAATGGAGAAAAAACATCATTTTATGATTTATAAATGAGATTTTTTTAAAATGTGTTTAGAAAAATCTCAAAATGATCATAAAGGAAGTCCATTAACCTCATATCTACGAAGTATTTATATCAAAAGAGTAAAGACAACACGTCAGGTATAAATAAATTAATTCGATATTTATGAAAAAAATTGAATGCTTTCTAAATAAAAATTTTAAAAATTTTTATAAAAAAGTGAATAAAAATTATAATTTCTATGTAGTGGCGACTTTTTATTTATAGCATTTAATTTTTATAAAAAAATATTATTAAATAAATATTTATCAAAAGAAAATTTCATTTAAACCGTTCAAAATTGCCGAAACATAAATAAATTAAGCGGTTACCATTTTTTATTATTATAATAGGCCATTTAAAACGACTTAACGGATTTTTATTGAAATTAATCCACATTTCAGGATATAAAAAAATTAAATCAGATAATATTTTTTAAGCAGAAAAAGAGTTAAAATTCGAACTACCTTTTATATGTACAGAGTACCAAAAGTCAATTAACTATTGTAATTTTATTTTTTTCAACTTATATCTATTCTTATGAAGTGATAGTAATATACAGGGTTGCTTAAAGGTTAGTTAACCACTTTATAATTTAAATTTCTGCCGTATTTAAGTACTTTATCACTTACAAACCTTATGAAAATTGCTTAAAATAGTACATTTTTGTTCGGTATACAAATTATAACACTGAAACGCTCAAAAATTGTTAAGTTTCTTGCATAAATTATTGAACTATTCTTACAAAATATAGTTTACTTACTTTTAGATTGCTCCACATGTAAAATTATAATAAATTTTATTAATATAAAGCACTAGAGTAGGCAGAGAGATTAACAAACGAACAAGACAGTATACTTTTAAACGTAATTTTAGAAAAAGTGTATATTTTATATTAATAATATATTACAAAACAGTTCAAATTATTTAAAAGATATTTAATAGTTGGCCTGATGTTCGAGGCGATTAAGGCGTCAGCATATTGTTTTGGGGATCTGGGATTGAATCCAGAATTTTCTATGGGTCCTGTCCCTTACCAACGGGTTGGCCACATTATATGGAGACGTTTCCCATAGAAAGCTCTTCTGGGAGGGCACCCTCTTGACAGATTGCCTTATTCCACCAATACAATCCTCATCATCTTATAGCCTTCAATGTAGGCCTGGCAGAATCTACGATGGTTACGAAAAAAAAATCATTCTTAGTGTCCATAGGACAGAAAGAGTTAAATATATATATATATATATTTAATAAAAATAGTTACTGTACAAATAAAAGAAATTACATTAAAAATATTTAATTATAGATTAGTTGAAATTTTTCGGAAAATAATAATGAAAAATCGAATTACTATCTACATTTTTTCCTCTATATTCTGTATAATTTACTACTCTAATGATTTCTTCATAAAAACGAAAAAAATATTTAAAAAAAAAGAAACACGTCAATTAAATGAGCTGGTATAGAAAATGGAAGAAATTCTTCAATTTGTGCAATGGTGAAATCTGTTTATTAGAAACTAGGTGGTTTCACTTCATTGGTTTGCACTTTCTTTCTTTACTATCCCTCCTACTTCCGAGTAGTCAGGCGAATCTGATTGAATTTTTCTCCTCTTTTTTGGCTTGTGTGTGAGTGTGTGTGTGAAGTGATGGAATTTTGAAAGTTCTTTCTTGGATTCCATACTTTAAAACAATGTAGTCACTAAATATTCTATATGTTCGATATACATTTGGAAGAAAAATAGNAAGTATGTTAAAGAAATGCTTTTTATTCACATAATGCACTAAAAAGTAGAAAAACAAATGTGAAATCTGTTTTTTCAGCTTTATTTTCTACTTTTTAGTGCATTTATGTGAATAAAAAGCATTTCTTTAACATAAATACTTATATTTTTTGGTTTTATATAAAAATATGTTTAATTGGGAAATGGATGAAAACTGAGTTACAAGGGTTTGTTGCTTTGCATGACAAATTGTGCAATTTATTAAGCTAATGTACAGTGCCATCTGTTATCAGATTGCTTGCAATTAAAATTTTAGCAGTTAGCCAAAAAGTCTAAAAAAAATGTATCGTTATTGGAATACAAAGTCTAAACTAGATCAGAAATTGGGAAGTGAGTGAAAATTGAGTGATAAGATTTTATTCCGTCTGCCTGTTTGTGCAGATAAGTTAATAAAAAGTGTATAAAAAAGAATATTACCAATTTGATTGAGTTGATTTTTTATCTGGTTCTGTAACTCTATTCTTTCTGTCTGTAGAGCCCTGCATAACTTTTCTAAAGTAAGTACTCTCTGCTGTGACGTTAACAATTCTTGATCTCGTTTTTGTTTCTAAAAAATAATTTTTATATTTTGAATTTAAAAATAAGAATTTAAATATTTTAAAATATAATATATTACTTCAGCTGCCATCTCAATAAGTGCACGATTACTACTCTCCCATCTGGTTTTCCATTGACCAGTTTCTTTTTGAAGTTTTTTAATCTTTTTTGACATCTGAAAAACAAAAATTTTTAAAATTATAACATTTTCTCTCTTGTAACGTCTTTTATTAAGTAAAAATATTTATCGTCTAAAAAATTTACCGCATCCATGTCGCTCTTAAACGAGCTGAAAACGTCGTTGCTCTTTCGAAGAACTCCCTGAAATTCGTCGTATTTCGAAGTGTACAGACTCAGCTCATTTCGTAGTTTCAATTCCGTCGAAGCTAATTCAGTACTTCTTTTTTGTAGTTCATTAATATTTTCCAACAGTTGGTGTTTCTCTTTCAGAAAATTCTCCCTTTCTTGTTTAAGTTGTAACATTGTTTTGGCTAGTTTTGCTTTAGCTAATTGAGATTCTAGTTCCTTTTGTCTTACAACTTTTCCCATATGCTATTAATAAAATAAAAATTGTTAATCTATTAATTACTTTTAATTACATTATTTTGATAACTTTATATTCAGGATTTGTACATTCTATTTTAGAAAAATTATAAGCTATTTCATTTTAAAAAATTTGTTATTTCTAAGGTTAAATATAAGCTTGAAACATCTGGAAAAGTAATTGATTAAATCTTGTAACTTTTTTTACATCTACCATAGAAGTACTACATAATGGCAATAAAATATTTAATAATAATTGTAATGATTTCCATTGATATTATTGAAAGAATCCAAATGTAAAGTTTTACAAAACTTTACATTTGGATTCCTAAATGCTTATCCAAATTATTTTACAATTCATTTATATTATGATTCAAATTGAAAAACAATTATATAACCTGCAGGAAAGCATTCAACAGACCAGAGATTCTCAACTTTTTTACTCTCACATTAAGAGATGTAAATATTAAATTTATTTGCAATCCTATGAGAAAACACGTGCAAAAAAATTTTCTGCATGTCACCTGGTGTCTCTGTCATATTCCTTTCACAGGTCCTATATACACTGGTCAATGAGCATATGACTGCTCTCCTTGGAAAGTGTCACCTTGTTGGCAGCCTCACTGATTCCGTTCCACCTGTACACGAAGCAGTTTTATCCATTCAGATATTGTATGCAATAGTCTAAAAAATTCATTCTGGATGTTCATTGATATATTGCAATAAATGAAAATATAACAACAAATTTGGTTCAATGCATAAGTTTTTATGTATCTTCATACATTTTACTGTATCTTGTGTAACAAACACATCTGATATTCACAATCATTTGTTGTAAATGATTTCCTGTGCAAAATTGCTTGCTTCCCTAATTGTTTGACTAATGTATTAGTAAATTGAGAACTGGTTAAAAAAGATTAAGATTATTTCAGAAGAAAACAAGAAAATTGGTATAATATATCTTAAAATGTTTACATATTCTTCTAAATATAAAAATTAGTGTGTGTTGTATGATTTTCTATTTAGGAAAACAAAAATACTAAAACTTATAGGATGACAATTTCTTATAAACCACATCTGATGATATTTGTAATTTAAATTTAACTACTGTAAATTATTTTGTGTCTATCTGTTATATACTCTTAACTCTCTTATCCTTTATCTTAACAATTACAAATGATGTAAACATCAATATGTAAAAAGTTTCCTTGGAAAAATAATTTGTATTGATAATATACTATTATTATACAACACAGAAGATCCATTAAATCTGCAATGCAATTAGTGCTGTATAAACATTGATCAGAGGCAATTAAATTGTGAAAATCAGGCAGAAGTAAACATAAATATAAAACATCTATAGCTGCTGTGAATTAAACATACACCAAACTATAAATTATCTTTGCTAATTAGTACATGGAAAATTGGAATACATGAATAATCTTAAAATCTATTCAGTGGTCTTAAAGTAGGAAATGCTTTGACATGTTCACAAATGATAAAAAATCAAGCATTCTGTCAGCAATGAACTCACATTCTTACACTCCGTGTTCAGTTACCTCAAGTTCCAATTGGCACAGTAATTCAGGCTGTGCTGATCTGAATCTAATGATTAGCTTCAGATAAGCACTGAAAATATCAGTCACTAGATTCTAATGGCTGATACTTTCATTGACAGATTGATGAGGTAAAAGTTTAAGCTTATGAAGTCCAAACACTGCTCAATGATCAGATATACGAGTAATTATATGATGCAAATGTGCCCATTAATAAGAAAACGTTCAATATAAATATTCTTTGGTTCATTCCATAGGAGCAAGCACAAAATTATCAAAAGGTCTAGACATCAGATGAGAACTGTGACAACAACTAAGTCTTATACACACAATGACTAAGTTTACAAAATACAAGTGAACAATAAATTTTGCATAATAAACTGATGTTTAAATCTTCACCTGCACACCTCTTGATTTCAGTCATTCATACACATACATTTGGGGTAGATTATTAGTACTTGCACCAAATATTATTTATGTTTAGTTTAATTTAATTAAACTATAACTAGCTAAGAGAGAGAGTTTTTCTTAATACCAACAATGCATCTTTATATTCTCAATTTGAATTAAAAAGCAAGATTTCATTGTTATACAGAATTTGCACGTATGTGACTTATCTCCTTTTTGTAATAACTGATTCGATTAGATTTCGCTATTAAAATCTTAATTAATTAATAATTGAATTTCTACATTTTTGTAGATATTCAACTGAACTATGATTAAAAATATATTTCTTGATTTTTAACTTAAAAAATTTAATATGTTAACTTGTAAATTCCATACCTTTTCCCATAAATCGTAATGATCAACCAGAGATTTTAACTTTTGGGCTAATTCGATATTTTCTTCTTTCAGCTGAGTGCTCTTCTGTTGATTTTCTTGCATCAAAGTCGAAATATCATTGAGAGTAGTCTGAAATTTTCCAACTAATTCTTTTCTTTTTTCTTCCTCCTCCCTAATACGTAGAAGACTCTCTTCCTATAAAATCAAAAAAACACTTTTTAAAATAATAATTCATACTTATAAACTGAATTTAAATGAGAACAATTATAAGCAATTATTATATTTTCAAAAAATTCATAAAGTATTTACCTTGATTGCTTTATTTTGTCTCTGTAATTCTCGGCATAAACTTTCCAGTTTACTCTTTGCCAAAACGGCTCTATTGTGATCGGCTTGAAGTTGTTCTTTTTCTCTAGTCAACTGAATATTATGTCTTTCGGACTGTTTTATTCTACTTTCGAAATTTCGTTGTTCTTCCAAAACTTCTAGATGCTTTTTATACAGGGCTTGAAGTTTCTCTTCTGCCGTGCCATAATTGGCTAAAAATTTCATCAACTGATCTGGAAAAAATTGTTTAAAATATTTTAAGAATTAAACTATTAAATCTAATATCGAGTAAAGACTTCCATACAAAATATTAAAGGAAAATTAACGTATATAATGACCACTATTTATTACAACATACCAATAGTTTTTTCTCCTTTACGTTTACTAGAATTGCAACCTTTAGAAAATTTTTTATGCATTTTGCTTTCTGTTACATCACATGCAGATAATATATTCTAGAATTTAAAATACGCAATTAGAAATTTATATTGTATTGTTACAAAATTTTTCACGTTTCCGTTAAAAACTTAATTTTTACATAAAAATATTAGAAAAAAAATCAAAAAAATATTTACAATTATTAATTAATAATAATACATTAAATTTAAATTTTATTCAATTAATTTATGAGAAAAATTACTAGAAAACTGTTGAATTTTTCCCCCTTTTTTAATGTTACTCCTATACTATATACAGTTTATAATAATTGATATATTTTTGTGAAACAATTTCCATACTGAAGATAGTTTGTCATATTTTATTTTTATTTTTTCAATATCACATGTCTCATAGAGATGAATATGATTGATGAGTAGGAAGTGTTAGGTAATGTAGAAGATTATTTACGAGTATCCATCACTGAAATGTTCTCCTTGTTTCATCATTTTCAACAAAACAAATGAATGCTTTACAGTAAATATTATATAAAGATTACATTCACTACTTAAATATTTTAGGTACTAAGTTTAGAAGATTTTTATTCATGAAAAATTGCAATATTTCCCCCTTTCCTTATGATAAAATGTAATCTTTATGTTCATATATCAATTTAAAAATCTTAAAATACTTATTTATATGTTTTTCATTCTGTTTATTTTGACAATATTTTTTTTAAAAAAACAACACTTCTTTTTATTTACATTTATATCAAAAATAGGAATTTGTGTTATTTTTATATATAAATTTTGTGAAACTTTGAAATTTTATAACAAAACATATTTTTTTTCATTGCTTAACTTCATAAATTTAAAAAACAGTTATATTATTACTTATTTTTATCAAATGTTATATCAATTATTGATTTTTTCTCTATTTATTTTCTGTAAAATACTAAAATTTATATATCTTTATAGTATTTAATTTTATATTTAATTTTAAATAAATTTTCTTATTGATAAAACTATAATTGAATTTAAAATCAATTAAGAAATTTTCTGCACTTTTGTATAAATGAATTAAATATTTTCTATTTTCTGATATTAAATAAAATTCCTAAATAGTTTTATTGTGATATTTTTAAAATTACAATTTTAAGTTATATTTTTAATAAAGAATATCATTTATAAACATATTAAATTTTATTATCATCTATTTAAATGTAGTAAACTTTATTTTTCTTATAGTTCTTGTAAATTCTCTTTAATATAATTGTGTGTGAAAAATTAATAATAACTGAATATTTTGATATTTTTTCTATTAATTAATTTATAAATAAATATAAACAGAAATGTGATTTGTTTATTATGTTTTTAAGAATTTTTAGAAATTTTTTTTCCTTATAAATTCAAGATCTTCAAGAATTTCTTGTAATTTTTCTATACATTTTTTTTTTTCAAATTTTCTGCATTTAAAATACATTTTTCTTGTAAATATAGAAAAAATTTGCAATTTTTCTAATCTTGAAAACTTTTTTAATACTTATTAAATTTTTTTCTATTCTTTTACTAAAAGTTTTCTTAGTTTTTGATTTAAAAATTTTATAAAAATTAATTTTTTAAATTAAAATCTAACAAAAATTTTTGTTTATGTTCATAGAAACATATAAGAAATTATTGCTTGTAATTCTTGTAGAAGAAATTATTGTAAAATACAGAAAAATTTCGTAATTTTGTTTTTTTTTACTAATCTTGAAAATTTTGTAAATTCTCTTAAATATTTTTAGTTTGTATAAAAATTAATAATTGAATATTTTTGATTTTTTTCTGTTTTAATATTTTTTATATTGAAAAAAGGATAAATTTTTGTTTATAATTTTTGTAGATTTATAAATATACTGTATTCTTAATTTAATATAATTTTTCTCTTGCATTTTTATCATTTAAATCTATGTTTATTTTTATTTTTTATATGTCTTTAAATTGAATATTCAAAGAAATTTCATTTAAAAAATAAATAAAATTTTATGATAAAAAATTAATCAATTGAAAACTCTTTATTATGGAATTTTTCTATTTCATTTTCATGAAACTTTTTGATCACTTATTAAGAGATTATTAAAACATTTTATCAATTTTGTTTAAAATTTTTTTTATATTTTGTAGAGAAAATCAGTTTAAAATAATTTATTAAGTTGAAACTACTTAAAATTGATTTTATTCTCTTAAAATATTGAATTCAGTTATAAGAAACCGCTACTAACTCTGTATATAAGTTAATCTTTAACTTTCTTATAATCTGCTTTAAATGAAATTCAACATGTGCATTATCTAATAATATTAATAGTGTTAAAAGAGGGAGATATTGGTTAGAATCATACAAAAAAGAAACTTATTTTTTTCTCTCTCCAGGTTATATCAATATAGGTTAGTCTGTAAGTCAATAATCTGCTAGCGATTACCACGTCTCTAGGGTTTGTATCAGTTGAGGTTATGTTGGACAAGATAAGAGTAGTTAGTGTAATAAAACGATCATATATTCTCCAATGGATCTCTCACACTAATTGCTAACATATGGATGGAAGGTACTTTAATATCGACACTGTTTGGGATAAAATAGATGTTTTTCCAGTTTTCCAACGTTTATCTTGTATCCTATCGCGAATTGCTGGTGTAAAACTTTATTCTTTAGTGATAAGTCTGTAACATTAGTACTTTTGTGGTATACTCTTAGCTATTAAATAACTGTATTGGATTTTTATGTTTGTTAGGATAACACATTTAAGTTTAGCTTAAAAAAAGAGAGTGATTCTCTTACAATTTAATGTTAAATTTGATGTTATACAAGATGGTTTTATTATGGTTAAAATAGCTTAAGTTTAATTTGGTATCTTGTTTCTTGTGGGCAAAATATCTTAATGCTTGATGATAATTTAAATCTCGAATAAGATCAAAGGATAAACTATAAAGTTATACAGTTATGAATATATCAATTTATGATAAGATGATGATCTGAAATTTCACTTACTTTATTCCGTTAATTAAAGACGCAAGTTTCACTGGTAGCGTTTCGTGTTGCCAATCATGGTACATCGAACACCATGTCACTTCGACATCGTCCATTTTCCCAAGGGTAAAAGTCGTACATTCCTACTAATCGATCTTATATGACGCCACAGAAATTTCCTCCTTGGACGAAAGGCAACTGTAAACGGCTATATCTTTAATTAAGTCAATTTTCAATCTCTAGAGATATACTTGTAGTCTCTAATTTCCTGTGCTGACATATGAAACGACGTGTCATTTTTCAAATTATCAAGACCTTGTTTTATGTTTCTAAATAATTTGTGGTTCGATTAAAAATTTTTTCCCCTACAGAATCGCTTTAAATTGGGACATTTAAAGGAAATAATAGTTTTCTTAATATCAAACGGAATATTTTTAGATTTATATCGTATAGAATTATATTTATCTATTTTTATTTTATTATTTTTAAAGTTATCTTATAGCTGCCTGTAAGGCGGCTTCTCTGTCGATTTCTTTTGCTTTGCAGGGAAACAGTCTTTACGATTTTAATACATAAGTTTATCAATGAGTAAAAACCTTTTTATACATAATTTTTTCAATTATTAAATATTTTAAAGGGAGAAAACAAAATTTCTAAATAATTTTAGAATGTTAGACTCCTATTTTACTTTCTTTACTTAATTATCATTAAAAATAACATGATTTTATTATAAAATTCAGAATTTTCAGTGTATTCCGAATCATTAACATTGATATTAGAATAGAATGTTACGCATTTTAATCCACAGTTCAAACAAAATTTTTAAGATAGTTGATTCACCTGAATCAGCTTTTTTTTCTCGTTGAGAATGGGAAGTTGTTCATCACTTTTTCTCCATCGCCTGAAGATATATTATGAAGAAAGTTTTCTATTTTAAAATTTTACCAAGTTTTAAACTAATTATTTATAAATTAATAATGATATTTTATAACATAACANTTATAAAATATAGTTTACTTACTTTTAGATTGCTCCACATGTAAAATTATAATAAATTTGAAATTAATTACTATAAAATTAATTAATTTTGATTGACAGTAATATTAGATATCACTTGTTAAAGTATGGGTACTTCACAGAGGTGTAGGGAGAATAGGTATGAGGGAATTAATGATTTCAAAGACTCATGTTGAAGGTCCACTATGGAATCAAACTTTATCAGGACTGCCAAATTTTAATTTTATAATGAGATGTTCCAACTACTACAGAATGTCATTAAAAATTTAATTTTTAACATTAAATAATCCGTAATATAATTTGTATCCTTTTAAAATATTTGGTTTTATCGATTCATTTAAGAAAAATTTTAATTATAATTGAATTCATGATCTTATTCAGCATTGTAAATTATATATTCTTTATTTATTATGGGTACATTAATTGATTTGTTTATGATAAAACGTGTAAAATAAATCCTCATATTCAGATCTGCATATGATCAAAACATGTAAACACGACTTTATATTCGATTCTATGTTAATTAAGCATATGAAATCCCTCTTATATTTTAATTTGTTTGTAATTAGCTATGTAAAATTCGGTCTGCATATAATTAAATATGCAAATTTAGGCTTATATTCGAATCTGGATGTGATCAAATATGTAAATGCAGTTATCAGATTTATAATCACTGATGTACTGAGGATTGAGTTTGTAATCTTCAATATAATTGCATTTTGGAGAGTGAAAATTGAAATTGTAATCCTCAATGCATTTGACGTTTAAGAGAATGAAGATGAATTATAATATTCATTATAATTGCGTTTAAGAGAGTGAAAATTGAGATTTCAGTTTTCAATGTAATTTCCTATAGTAGAATGAAGATCGATTGTACTGTACAATCTTCAAGTATAATTGAGCTTTAGGAAAATGACGATAAATTTACAATTTTCAATACTATGTACAGTACAGTATATTCGAATTTGGAAGAGTGGAACTAGAATTTACTATCCTCAATATAACTGCTTTTAGGAGATTGAAGAATGAGTTCACAGTCTTCAGCATATCGTAATTGTATTTATGAGAGTGAAGATTGAGTTTAAAACTCTTAATTG